AAAAAAAATTCCTTTATTTTTGTTGTGTTTTGTTATACGTTAAATTTTAAAATTTCCGGGAGAAATAAAGGGGATTAAAGAAAATTCTGCTAGTTTTCTGTTGATAAAACATTCACAAAGCATATAGTCGATTTTAGAGTTCATTTAATACAAGTTGAAAATGAACATAAACATGCACGGAGTAGAGTATTTGGGCATAGTTTTTATCCTAGATGATATATATGAGTCTCTGATATATATCCTACAACTGGTGTTTTTGCTTTGATCACTTGTCTAGTTTTGCTCAGTTTGGTCTCTACTTTTTAAAACTCATTTTGAACCGAACAATCTTTCAATAGATTAATTTGCACGTGAACTGATATCTTTTTTATACTTTTTAATCACACATTTTTTAAATTTTTAAAAAATGTTTTTTATTCTTAAAAATTCTCCACCGAACAGGGGTTTTTTTTTGTTCCCTGATCAGTGATCATGGTATGACTTTCGGGGATCCTTCATCGGATACAAAGGGTCTGTTTGTTTTTTATTCTCAAATTTTACAGTAAATCAATTCTCATTTTCAACCACACATTCTTCAATAAAATAATATTTTTCATTACATCAATAATTTTTTCTTCTTTTTCAAACATACATTTCTCATCATATCACTATTCAAAAATCGATTCTTCCCCCAAAAATCCCTACCAAACAAGCACTAAGCACATTTTTCAATAAATTTTTACTTTAAAATATGTTTGAATATGTTATTCTTTTTCTTATTTGTAAGTAAATAATTTACTTATTTTGACAAAAAAAAAAAGGTTACTTTTGCTTGCACTTTCATCAACCGTCAAAAAATAGAGGGAATGAAATGAATGGCATGGATAGCAGATATTCACACATGGTACTTTTAAACGTTAGTTTTCTCCGTGTTATCAAAGTTCAGAGATCAATGAGATACTTAACCAAATATATTTTACGTGTTCGAATTATTGAAGTGCACTATGATCATGAATTCAAATTAAGCCCCTGTTTGGGCTCCATTATTTTACATTTTAATAAGGAGAATGATAAGTTTTGAAGAATGTGAATGTGTGGTTGAAAAAGAATGAAAAGCTTATAGATTTATGTGTAATATTATTTTATTGAATAATATGTGGTTGATAAGAAGAGAGAATAAAATGAATTTTAATTTAATGGGGCCAAACATGGGCTAAGTCTAATCTTGAGTTGGGAGGATTGATAGTCTCGATATGAGTTAAAAAACAAAAATAATAAAAATAAAAACAATGACAATGCGTATATCAAAATCGTACATCAAACATTACTAATATCTCCTTTAATTGAATTAACGTGGTATCGGATTCAATATATTTTGACAATATTTTTCACGAACCACATAACTTTGGTGACATGGCAAAAATTTATGTTCAAAGGTGTCACATGTGAATTTCTGTCATCCACGTCATCCATTCCATCTACATTTTTAACAATCGTTGATGTTGAAGTGACTGATGACGTAATGGTTTGGTAAGTTCAGTGACCTACTTTGACCAATTGTGAGAAGCCAAAAACTACAACCGGATAAGTTTGAAAATAGGCTGAATGCTCGACCACCGGGAGTGAGTGGTGTTTACCACCGTAGGATTGGAGGAACACCATTAAAATTTTACTACAAAAGTAAATAAATATTGCATTAATATTTTTTCATTGTTAATGTTATGAATATTGTGAGGACATTAATAATGATAGGTTGATCGTGTATATCAACAGTATAATTGATAATACTAATAATGAGATCATCATATATTATTTTTTAAACTATGAAATCAATAAAAAGTAATCGAAAAAAATTATGACCTTTGTAATATTCTTATGCTATAGAACTTAGCCATAATTCTTACAAAAAAAGAAAATATGTTTATAGTGGTTAAAAGCACTCTCCATTCTTTCAAACATATGTTTATATCTCAATATGGCAGCAAAATCAGACCACGAGATTGCGAAAATTAATGTACAAAGACAGGAAAAGTTAGGGATGTCCAAAAGTCTCGAATCGAATCGAATCGAACCGAACCGAATCGAGCGGTTCTTCATAAATTAAATACCCGAATGGGTACCCGAATCGAGAACCGATGAGTTTGGGTCGGGTCTCGGGTCTAGACCAAGAATCGAAGAATCGAACAAGAACCGAAACTAAATTTTTTTTTTATTTTTTATATTGAATTAATTAAATTATTTTATTTTTTTTATACAAATTAGCAAATTAATTAAATAAATTAGATTATTTCATAATTTTAATTTTAAAGCCCAAATCATTTTTAAAATCCATTAGCCCATTTTAATTTGAAGCAAATGAATATACTTTATGTAATTTCACTGTAATATTAATATCTATTTTTTGGTATTTGTATGTATTGAATTAATCTTATTGGACGGCTAGTTATTTATATGTTTTTGAATTGGGCTACGTTAATTTGTAAAAGGTACGAATGAAATGTCATTAGTTGTATTTATGTAGTGTTGCTGAAAATATTAAAAAATTTAATTATGGTACAGAATCGAACGGAATGGAACCGAACCGACCCGAACAGAACCCGAACAGTTCCATAATTATATTTGGACTCGACGGGTCCATTTATTAAATATCCGAAAGTTTTGGGTCAGTTCCGATCTCTTCAGAACCGAACCGAACCGAACCGACCCACGGACAGCCTTAGGAAAAGTTGGGGAAAACAAGAAGAGGCAGTTATGTTATATTTTTCTCCCTACTATCTGCTCAGCTCCTTATCTTCTTTGGAAGTTGTTGAACTTTGCAAATGCAAAGCCGAAGAATAAAATGAGAACCCAAAACGACAATGGACGGAAGTCGTTTTTTAAACACAAGCTTTCGTTAATATACCCCTTAACAGTCATATTACCAGCTCCGGGCACCTTAAGTAGAGAGGACTTATCGCGAATTTGAGAGATGATTGGACCGTATTGTCCAAGCAACGGGCGAACCATAGTAATACCAACTCTACCATGTCAGAATTTGCTGCAGTCATTAAAAAATTTCAGCTCGCAAGTAACTTCATGGCATGTTTGGTAAAGTGGATTTAGAATACTGTCTAATAGTACTACGTACCAAACATGCCATTAGAGATCTAAATTTTGAGACTTAATGATAAAGTTTCATGTGTCCGCACTCACCGTCCAAGGGATAAGAAAACCTGAGATCAAGTTCCAGAAACTGAGGAAGAAAGACTTCACAATGGCAGCAATCTGGAGACCTAGAGTGGGCGCGAAACGCATCAATCAGTACAGAGTGAAGTAGATGAAGCAGGTAAAAAATAAATAGTAGAACCATAAGAATTCTCCGACTGCCCACTTGAATTCAACCATTGATTAGAGTAGAAGAGAGTACTAGAGAATAGTCTGAACTATGCGATGTAGATTATCTCTACGGCCATCTAAAGCAAATAAGATATTTAGACAGACGAATGTTGATCATGTGCCTAATACGATTTTAGTCCTCATTATAAAATACATCTGATGCTTCTGCATGAAAAATGCTAGCTTACAGAAAGACAATTTGACAAGCAAAGGAGTTTATAAGGTGATGGATAATGATATCTAAGGAAATGCATAAGGCAATGCTGAATACATTCTAGCTGCCCTTTCGCGGTAGGATACTGCTCTCTCTCTATAGCAACAACACCTCGCACAAAAGAACTATTGGTGGCTCCAAGGAAAAGAACAGAAGCATAGATGGCTCCCAAAAGGTTCTATAGATCTTGTTGTTTCTGGCTGTTCCGGAAAGTTAAAGTCGACTTAGATATAAATGCAAGCTTTTCGAAAATCAATAATAAGATCATGTCATAGGCGATCAAATACACGAAGAAATTGAATGTGCGATTTCGTTTAACCAAGCCCAAGCTGAACCATATAACAAGAATGATATTGTGTTGCAGTATCGATGTGAAGTATCCATTTACATTTTATTTTCTTCTTTTAACTTTGAACTTGTTATTTTGTGACCCAATTCTGTTGGATCTTCATAGATTGGTCGAAAGAGGTGATAAAGAGGTACGAGGAGTTTTGGGGCAGAAATTGGGCACTTGGAATCAATTTGGACCGAAATTCAGCTCTTGGGTGCTATTGGAAGCGTTGTCGCTGTAGCTTGCCTACCGCTGCCTAAAGCTCGAGTGTCACGCACCACTCGTCGGCGCAAGACTACCGTAAGAGCGCCGTACATATCCAGGAAAAGTTTATTTATTTTTTTTTTTACATTGTTTTTGAACCTTTTTCTAACCATAACATATTCGTTTTGGTCTTATATATAGCCCACTTGATCTTGACTTTCATACGACTGTGTTGAATTAGAAACACAATTATTTTGTATTCTTTCTCTATATCAATAAATTCTTCAATTCTTTGTCAATTGTTCTTGTGTTGTGATTGCTATTTCATATTGTCTCATAAAATCTATTTTTCTTCTATTCCTAACAAGTGGTATCAACATACATAATTCTTGTTCGGATTCTAACAAGTGGTATTTGAACTTAATGTTTGATTTGTTCGAGATTTTTAAAATTTTTGTGATGACAATCATGAAGTATGATATTCCGCTTTTGGATCGCAACACTAGATTTTCGTTATGACAGGTGAAGATGCGAGCAGTATTTGCTCAGATGGATTTGGACGACGCTTTGTTGGGATTTTATAGAATGCCCTCAAATTGGTCAATGGAAGAGAAACAACATAGTGATCGAAAAACCCTATCATAGATTCATCTTCATCTTTCGAATAATATTTTTCGGACGTTTTGAAGGAGAAAATCGCAGCCGTGTTATAGTTGAAGATGGAGCAATTGTGCATAACTAAGAGATTAACTAGCAAATTGCACATGAAGTAGCATTTGTATTCTCATTGCATGACATAAAGTACATCTTTAGAAAATCACCTTGCTGTCTTTAAAGAAATTATCACTGATTTGGAAACTTTGAAGGTTAAATATGATGAAGAGAACTTAGGTTTGATCTTATTGTGTTCATTGTCTGTTTCATATATTTCACTTAGAGACCCAATATTATATAGTCGTGTTACTCTCATCATTGAAGAACTTTATGATGCTTTATTTTCAAATGAGAAGATGAAGCATCTTGTTGGATTTGAGGCTCAATGAGAGGGCCTTGTTGTTTACGATGGTTATGAGGGGGGCAGTTCAAAGTCTAACTTTGGTAATAAAGTTTGTAACTATTGCAAGAAGAAGGAGCACATTAAGAAGGATTTCTAAAAATTGCATAATAAAGAAAAATTGATTACAAATCAGAAGGGAAGACAATCAGAAACTTCAGGTAAAGTCGATGTTGTAGAGAATTGTTTGAATGATGGAAAATTTTTGGTTATTTCTGATGGAAATTCCAAACCTGACGAGAATCGGATTCTTGATACATCTTGCACTTTTCATTTGAGTCCTAATCGAGATTTGTTTTCAATATATGAAGAATGTTCGAAAGGTGTTGTAGTTATGGGCAACAACGCACCCTGTAAGATATTTGGCATTGGAAAGATCAAACTTAAGATGTTGGATAGGACGGTCAAAACACTTGATGAAATAAGACATGTTCCAAATTTGAAGAGAAATGTTATCTCATTGACTACTCTTGATTCGAAATGGTACAAGATCATTGGTGAAGGTAGAGTCTTGAAGGTTTGTAAAATTGCCCATGTTGTGTTGGAGGGACAACGAATGTCCCAATTGTATATCTTGCAATATTGTGCAGAATTTTTTAAAATCAATCAACAGAGGTTTAGTACTTTGGTGGATATTCAATTTGGTAAAGTACCATTAGAGTTTGATTTCGGATCGTGTTGAAGAATACATCTTAATCGAGTTTAGAGATTATGGATAATGCTGTTTTGTCGTCGCCACCAACGGTGACATCGTATTCAATTGCTAGAGACAGACCCATGTGAAATATTAGGCCTCCACAGAGGTACGGGGAGGCTGATTTAGTGGCGTACGCTGAAGTGTGGTTGAAAGTATTCAGTCTAGCAAGTAACCTTCGACAGGAGCATTTGGTTGTGTTGATTCTGTTTCAGGGCGTGTTTCGGCCATGTTTGATAACTTTTGAATTATTTGTGATTTTGTTTGTCGTAGTGATAATTCGAGCAAATTTTGGTGTCCAAGGTAATTCTGTTGAGCAATGCTTGAATTCTGTTAATTGGATTTATCCAAGTTGGACTTTGTGAAAGAGGATGAAAATTTTTGTTGGAGAGTTTTTTGGAGTGAAGAGCCATTGGTTTATTGTGGAATTTGTCTCTAGGTGGAGAATTTTTAAAATTTATTCATTGCAGTGGAATTTGTGTCAAGGTCAAGATTTGTTATTTTGTGACCCAAATTCCGCTGGATGTTCATGGATTGGTTGAAAGAGGTATGGGAACTTTTGGGGCAAAAATTGGGCGCTTGGAATCAATTTGGACTAAAACTCAACGCTGGGCGCCATTGGAGGCGCTATCCCGTCGCTGGCCTACCTCCCGCCTAACACTCTGGCGCAAGTTTGCCGCTTGAGCACTATATATATTCAAGAAAAAATTGTTTCCTTCTTTTGATGTGGTTTTTGATCCTCTTTCCAAGTATGACATATATTTTTATTTTTTTGTCTTATATATAGCACATGTGTTTCTTGGCTTTTATATGATTTTGTATAAATTAGAATCAAGTTAAAAACGTAATTATTTTATATTTTTCCTCCATATTAATAAATTCTTAATTCATCTGTCAATTGTTCTTGTGTTGCGATTGCTACAATCTCGTTTTCTTTTATTTCGAACAAGTGATAGCAATATACATAATTCTTGTTCGAATTTCAACAAAACTCAAGAAATACCACTGTAAAAGAAAATGATAAGGAAATTAGGGACTTACGTTTCCTGTCCCTTGTCCCAAAATATGTGATGCGGAATAAAATACCTGACTACTGTCACGAAAAACCGGATGCCATTATATTGCGGGTTCTTCCATTAAGACGAATGCTGCTTCCAGAAACTATCTTTGCACTGAGTAAGAAATGACTTGAGTACTTTGTTGGAAAATAGAGGTCCTTGGAACCTTGTGGAGGGGAACTGAGTTCTTTGATTAGTTCTTGATTTCTTCTGAAAATTGTTTTCGATGGAAAAATAATATTCAGGTTCTCTAAATATCAGAAAAAATAATTAACAATCGTTCAGAAAAAGTTATTTCATGTTATCTAAAGGGAGAAGTTGGCATATATATCAGCAAAATCGACTACTATTTCACTCTCGATTGCCGGCATGATAATCTCCAGCATCCAAGTAGCTGGATTGTACTCGTCTCTAATCTTTGGAACCCTGGGAACAGCCTGGCACGTGTTAAAAAAAAAAAAAAAATCACACTCCATTTGTAATTCATAGTGGTTGGTAATTAATACTCGAATCACCAAGAATATATCAGAACTGAAGAAACATGAAAATAAGTAATTATGCATGGAAATTAAATGGTTCGCTTGATAGTTTGAGTCAAACAAGAGCAGCAGCAAATGATGCTTCAAAATATTCTATAAGCTTGTGGGAATTGTGACCAAGTGGTCCAGCTTAAATGACCTGCCCTCCTCTCTTCATCAGAAGCACCTGCATCAAGCTCAATAATTAGCTGTAGATAGGCATCGGAAAAGAGAGGAAGATTCGAGAAAAAACAAATAAATAAAAAGAATCTCACAATGCATCAAAATTCTTGACCACAACTCATCAAAACCTTCAAAAATGTGCATGCATAGTTGATGAATTTTGCAGACCACAGTTCTGCCTGTATCCACTGTATCTCTCACAGCATGCATAACAATAGCAGCAGCTATAGCATCAAGGCCTGATTTTGGTTCATCCGTGAAGATGATAGACAGGTTAGCAACCAACTCACAGCTATTGTAAGCCTCTTCCTCTATTCTGTTGACAGGCCATCTACTTCCGGAAGCCCCATCAAGATATTTCTTACCGAATTAAGGTCAACCAGTTCCATCACTTCTTCAACAAACATCTATAATCATGATAATAATAAAGAAGGTGGGTCGAAAAGAAAAAAATACTGCCATGTAAACTCAGAGAAACAATTTCAAATAATCAAGTAATATATGTTGGATTGTGTGAGTCTAATTATACTTTTTCATAAAGGGGTGCATTAGACATTCACCTTTTTGTACTATGATGTCCTAGATTCCTACGCTAGTATGTTATATAAAGGGAATTAGACGGGCCGTTTTTGTATGAGAGACAAAATAGAGAGGCGTGAGATCTATGTTGTGAACCTCTTATCAATTTAGCGAAAAATCTGGATAATAGACGTTGCTGTCATGTTGAGGGTGAACCACTACAAATTTCTGTATTTCTCTGTACATTTCTATTTTCTTTTTGTTTATTCATTATTTATCTCTGGTTTTAGGATTTTAGACATAATCCATGACAATATACCTTTCTAGGATTGGTTTTCACATCTGCAGGACTACGCAGCCAAGCAAAATACAGAACAGATTCATAAACTGTAACATTGGTGAATGAATATCGTTCTGCTCACAGTATCCACTAATTCGTGCAGACGTGGACTGGTTCTTTGGGTAACCCAAAATGCTGATAGTCCCTTCAATATATCCGCCGGTCTTTCTTCCGGCCAAGACATCCATCAAGGTGGTCTTTCCAGCCCCACTAACACGGACAAGTGCTGTTAATACCCCAGGTCTAAAAGCATATCTAGTAATTGGAGGCGATTTTCTTCAACCCTTTACGTAGCACTCATGCTAGGATAAAGCTCGGCCAAAGAACTCTAGCAAGAATCAATTTCCAATGAACTGTATTCTTCATGTTTAGTACGCATTATTGAACAAATTCTTTTTCTTAACATTGTCTTATACTGTCGAGATTACCTTACCGAACATAACAATCAGTGCACCAATCCCCACATAAAAACTGCAATAGGAATAATTAGGCTACCTGTTTGAGTGTTTAAGAACCACTTGAAGAATAAACTCACCTGAAAATCATGCAAAACCATGATAAATGTGTTAGGACTAAATTGTCACCATCATATAAATTTCCGTGTCAAGCCCAGTAAGAGAAACTTGGAGCAATACTCCCAACAATATACATTATAAGCATGATGTAGTTACAAAATAGCTTTACCAGACAGTATTTATTTTCCCAACAAATATGTTTTTGCTAGAACAACTCAAATTGCAAGTGCTCTCCTGCAGCACTATATTCCAGATACTTCTCCTCCTGAGTTGCTATTTTGGAAATTCCGGTATCATAGAACTCGGGAATTTGAGGTGGAATGGCACAGCGTATCAGTGCCCAATTTAGGCCGTCGAAGAATGGGTGTCGTTTGATCTCGGCAGCTCCAGTCTCCGTCCCCAACCGGTTATCGTGTTCCTTCACCAACAGACCTCTAATGAGATCCCTTGCCTGAAAACTAACAATAGGGCTGTCGGGAAACTTCAGACTTTGCAACACCACATTGGCTAATGTGTCTTCGTTTCCATCACCTCTAAAGGGCGTCTTCCCGTAAAGAAGTTCGTACAAGAAAACACCAAACGTCCACCAATCAACTGCACTCCCATGGCCTTCTCCTTTAATGATCTCTGGAGCCAAGTACTCGTGGGTACCAACAAACGAGTTGGATCGTGCCTCGGTCGGCTCTGCCACGAGCTGCGGTAACAATCTAGCCTGGGCAGAAGCTTCAGCTTTTTGTTTCCTTGCCTTTGCACTGGCAGGTAAAATCCTAGGGCTAAAGCATGAAACCTGACACGAAGGTCCAGCACAGAAAGGATCAATACAGTTAGAACCCACACATGGACCAGATATTCTAGGTGGCTCCACTCCCAGTGAAGAAGATTTAAGGAGGGTCGGGTTAACAGAACATCTAAGTGACAGATCAAAATCTGTTAGCATGATGTGACCATCTTCTCGGACCATAATGTTTTCGGGTTTCAAATCTCTGTACACAATACCTAGCATGTGCAAATATTCAAGAGCAAGAAGGACTTCAGCAACATAGAATCTGCAGGTACAAAAGAGTTGTAAGCAAAGAATACAACTAAGAAAACATGATGAATCAGTTCCCAAAAGTGGACCTGAATTTCTTTAAATTTCGGGTCTGCACCTACTTTAGACTCGGAAAAAGAAATGTGCATACACAGAAGTGGAAAAGAAACACTTCATAGGTCACAAAGTTTACGAGTTTGACTCAGTTTCATCTGTGTTGCAAAAAAAAACTTCTACCTTAGCATCTTCTCAGAAGCTACATTCAACATGCAGTCTTTTGGATATAATCCATTTAGGCTAGCCTAAGAATCTTGTAAGTATCATTTTCAAGCTGGCCAGCTCATTGTCAAAACTAAGATATAAACATTTATTTTGAAACGAACCATTTAAGTAGTTTACCCAGACAAAAATCAATAGGCATTTAGATGTAAATATATTTACTTTTACCCTTACCATTATTGTTCTTGCCAGTAATTAAATAAAGAATAGGTTCAAGGTACTGATCACCATTTCTATTGCACATAATATTTTCAATAGTCAAGCATATAACTAACAGATACAACTTCTACTGTAAATTATAATTAATATTGTTCAATAATTTTCCCGATGCAAATAACACAAGATGCAACAAGCAATTTGATACCTTGCTGCATGTTCAGGAAAATATCTACCAGGCTGCTTCTGGCGGAGGACGTGTAGATCTCCACCTGGACAGAACTCCATAACTAAACATGACAAATTGTCAGAAGTAAACTGGGCATACAGTGTCGGGAGAAATGGATGATCAAGCATTCTCAGAATTTCTCTTTCAGTTTGAGCTCTAGACATTTTCTTCCTTCTTGCCAAGAACTCATTGTCCATAACCTTAATTGCAAATAAACAGTTTGTTCCTATCAGTTCAGCCAGATAAACTGTGCCAATATCCCCAGAACCAAGCTTTTTCAATAAATTGAAGTGATGCAATCCTAGGAATCCATATTGTTTTCTTATGTTGTTGATCGCTTCCCACCTCAAATCCTTTGACATATGTGGTCTATTCCCACAACTCGACCCACTTAGACTGTCTTCACTAAGACTAGTAGTGCTACTGCTAAAATCACAGATACTGCTCTTTGAGCTTTGGGAAAATTCTCCTTTCTCTTTATATTTTGAGGTCATGTGAGTTTTGACCAAGGGAGTGACACTATCCTCACAGCCATTTGGACTGAAGTCCGATTTGATAGCATCATACTTGCTACTACTTGTACTCACTTCAGCAACGGTAGCTACTGGGTGGTCCTTATGAGACTTGTATTTTGTGTCCTTCAAAGAACACTGACACCTCTGACAGATAGGTGGGCCAGAATTGTGATCCAAAGCACTGCTTACTTCATAAGATGCAGAAGAATTTCCATCCGCTAATACCAATACCTTCTTTGACTTCTTAATAATGAGATTCTTGTTCCTGAGGGCTGGTTTGACTGCACGAGAAGTGTTTCTTGTTGACTTGACATCTCTATTGCTTTTCCCTGTGCTTGACAAAGGTAAAGCCTGCAACCTTCCCTTCCTTCGTAGCTTGGGCGCTGCTTTATTTGCTACTTTAGAGGAGGCGGAAGTATTTTTACTTGGACCACTCACAACACTGTTTGATCCAGTAAAATTCTTATCTGGCTTTGGGGCATTATCGTCAGCATTACAACAAGGTAGAGAAGAGATTGAAGTATGGTTTTCCTCCTGAGAGGGTTCTGCTTCCATTTCTTGGATTTCAACTTCTGTGGACACTGGTGCACATTCATTGTGCCTGCAAGAAGATTCTATGGCAAAATGAGAAGAGTGAGCACTTTGATTTACTGACTTCATCTTAGGCTCTTGATACTGAGGCAGCTTCTTAGAACATGTAGTGCTTTCTTCTTGCACAAGGTATCTTCCAACACTATCCCCCAAACATTCAGCCTGAAGCCGCCCAGATTCGCCAGAAGTACACTCAGAACTCTTAATGATTGGCTTAGTACCAAAACGAGGAGAAGAATGGGCAGTTTTGTTTGCTGACTTCAACTTAGGCTCTTGAAGGTACCGAGGTAGCTTCTCTGAAGAACATGCAGTGCTTTTCTCTAGCACTGGGGATATTCTGATTCCATCTCTCCTACATTCAGTCAGGGGCCGATCAGACTCACCAGAAGTAGGTCCTGCACTCTTAAATATTGGTTTAACACCAAATCGAGGAGAAGAATGGGCACTTTGATTTGCTGATTTCACTACAGGAGCTCCAACTCCCGAGTGAGGAAAACCAGATTCCCCTGGTTCAACTACGACAGACCTGTACAAATTTGTAATTTTACCAGCTTCTGAAATCCTAGGAGATGCTGGTGGCATTGATAACCGTCTAATGGCAGCCATTTCTGCTGCTTGAGAAATGCACAGTCCCCTCAGTGCCTGCTTCAAAGACACGGGCTCGGAAAATCCAATTCCTGGTGACTGAGACCCAGCAACCTTCATTGGCTTCTTAGAGGAATTTCTTCGCGAGTCGGAGAGATCCAGACTCTTGCATGATCTGAGATCGATTGCCTCAAAGAGCTTGTTGATATCATCTTCCAGAGTTTTATTAGATCCTTTTTTCAGGATTGGAGGCTTCCGCTCAATGTCTTGTGCTCTTACTTGATGAAGAGTTTGATGGTGCCGGAATGTATTCGGCTCCTCTTTTTCTTCGACAATTTCACAATTACGAGGAACAGAACCCATCACTTGGATTTCCTATCTATCAATGAATTACGTGGATTTAGGAGAAAGCCTTTTGATCTTATATCATTTAGTGATATATCATTACACCTTCCAATGTTATAAGTACTCCAAATTTTTGCACATTTCTCTCGTGCTCAACTCCTCTCTCATTTATGTCGTCCGAACATCCAAAACCTGTACCTGCACCAATCACCAAGATTTCTGAACTGCAAATTCTATTTTCATAATGAATAAAGTTAGGGTTCTAAAATGTGAATCCAAATTCCTTTTCATAATAATGGGGTTGTTTGAGCCCCATTATTTTTCAAAAAATGCATTTTGTAATAGTGTTACGATGGAGAATGTGTGGTTAAAAATAAGAAAAAGTTTCAGATTTGCATCTAATATTATTTTATTGAAGAATGTGTGGTAGATTTGTGGTCAAATCACTGTAAAAATGTATTTTGATGTCAAAAATGGGGCTCAAACAAGGGCTTAAGATTCCTTATCTTCCATCCAATATACCAACATCTATTCACTTACGTGTAAACTTTGAGCCCAAATTATAAGTTGGTTTCCATGTTTTTTTTTTTTGATAGGTAAGTTGGTTTCCATGTTTATAATCAACACATCCTATAAATATAAAAATGAATAAAAATGAAAATGTTAACTTCTTTTGGCAATCTCAACTTCATCTAAGACAAACTGGAATCTAAAAACCCACTTCTTTTCCAAATTCATATCCAGAGGACAATAACAGTGTATGAAAATGTCAAGTAAAACAGCAAGAAATCTGTGCAGAAATGAAGTTGATCTTGCATTATTTTATTTTTCATTTTTTTTTTACTTTAAGATAAGAAGCTTCTGCCCTTTGGGTCAAATTAGCACAAAGCTACCTTAAAACAAAAGCTAAGCATAAAAATTGTCCAAAAATAAGATATTTAGG